CGGGGACCCTCTGCTCCGGTGCCTGGAGCACATCCTCCCCCTCCTCCTGTGACCTTGGTGTTTGCAGGGCTGTTTTCACACTCTCACTGCTCTCTCCAGCTGCAAATACTGCGTGCCCTTTTTTTTCCCCTTCTTAACTCTGTTCCCCAGAGGTGCTGCTGCTGTCACTGACGGGCTCGGCCTACCGTCCCTGATGGGCTTGGTCTTGACCAGCGGCGGGTCCATCTTGGAGCTGCTGGCACTGGCTCTGTTGGACACACGGAAGCTTCTGGCAGCTTCTCTCAGAAGCCGCCCCTGCAGCCCCCATTGCTACCAAAACGTTGCCATGCAAACCCAATACACTGTTCCTGTGTCTTTGGCTTCATTTAAATAATAAAACATCTGTGCTCTATAGGGCAGGTTGGATTACCTGGCTGGGCAGACAGTGAGCGTGGGCTTTGCCTCGCGATGGGAGCTGATTTGGAAGAAGGAACCCAAGTGCCATCCAGCAGCGACTGTGTTACACAAGGTGTGAGCATCCTGTCTCTGATGCTCAGTGCAGGGCTGAAACCCCTCAGTCTTCCTCGGGTAATCTTGCCCTCCTTACACCATAGTTGCATGTGAATGCTTTTGTGGACTGGCCATTTAGAATGACATAGGAGACCTCTGGAATGTGCAGCTGTCAGCACTAAAGGCATTTCTTAATGAGTCTGTCACTAAGATCAGACAGTTGAAACCTCTGATTTTGTAAGTCTGTTTTGTTAGATGATTTAAGAGTCAGTCTTGTTCATGCACCCTCATTTTCTTGGCTGCAAATAGCGTTACACATGTGTAAATGAATGAATCGTGAATTATTCGTGCACCTGAGTTTCCATGATGAGCGTAGAGGCATTGCTGACTCTCAGTTATCTGCGCGTGGATTAACCAGGTTGTGGATGGTCTGTGCCACAGACACTAACTGAGGCAGCAGTGGCAACGCAGGTGTATTGCTTCAAAGCTCACCTGGCTCCAATGGCATTGCATCTGCTTTTGTACAGCTGCGGTGGATCACCTCAGGTTTCTGTGTACCACCTTGCTGCAACAGGGAATACTAGAAAAGTGGCCAGAGTTCTGCATAGGGTCTGCTGCCTCCAACATCAAGTTATTCACATTTGTCAGGAGCAACGTGGCGTTTTTATGTTATTCTGTGTATTCTGTTGCAGGACCTGCCTTCACTGAAAAATCAATAGGCTATGTTGATATAAACACATATGTAGGAATATATTGATGTTTCTCCCAAAAGACTCACATTCTTGTACGTTCCTCAAAACATTGATTCTGAAGATGACTTTATGCATCAGATCCTAAAGTAGCAATAGGGTTATTTGTGACTTCTGGAGGTAAAAATTCCACAGCTGAATTATTGAGATTCCTTTATTCCTCCATCCTTTCATTTGAGAGCAGGGAAAATATGGAGAAGGAAATAGTTATGAATCAGCCTGATTGCAATTCAGTAAGAATTTTGAAAACTGGGCCCAACATCCCAAGGGAAGAAGCATGCAGCATGATGGGCTTTCAAAATTTCCATATTACCTAGCTAAATACACCTGCCGATCTATTTGCTTAATGATGATTTTGTTTTTTCTTTAACTTCTCAAAACGCAAGACACATCAAAAAGCTGAAGAGGTACTATTCAGCTATGCAATTCCCAGACCGTGACTGTCAGCCCTGTTAATTGCTAGCTTCTGGAAAACCAAGGTGATACAGTCACCACTTTGCTTTGTTGTTCTGGAATACAATGCAACAGAATGCTGAACAACCACACAGGAAGATGAACTCGTGCCACCAAGGGTTTGTCATTTTAAGCTGTTACAATCCCCTATGAGACATGGTGTCAGAGTCCCCCCTTCTCTGTAGTTCTGCTATCATTCCTTCTTTTCACTCTCCTGTGTTCCTTAACTCTTCCTACTGCGCCTGAGCCCTAAATTGCTGTCATGGACTACTGTAGCATTTACTTTGAATGAAAAATAAAGCACATTTTATCAGCTTGTGGAAGTGATCTTCACAGCTAGGTGGCAACAAAAGAATTTCATTAGGCTACCTTCAGTAAAAACTGAGAAATGTAATTTTGTGAAAGCTGCTTTTAGCAGCTGCCTGACTCTAATGTCAGTGACAGTCTCCTCCAATTTAAATATTTGCAATAGCCATAATTAAACACTTAGTAACTGGCATCAAGTTAAAATAGAAATACATTACACAGTCTTCCTGCTGTGCAGATTTTAATTCAGATTTATATCCTCCTTGGCTTTGTGCCTAGAATAAGTCTTGTGATTTAAAGGCTGTTTTACACAGTATAGAAATTGTCATAGAGGGCAAATTATCTTCTAGGTGAGTAACAGAATTTTGATGTTTTCTGGAAGCGGCTCCCTAAAGAGATCAAACGATGTTATGTTCTCCTTCCACTGTTTAAAGACTGAAGAGATTCACACTGGCGAATAGAGGGATGGTCTGTCTGGGTCACTGAACCTAGACTCTGGCTCCTGGAGGCTATCACATCATCTAAACCTTCTAAACAGTTTTTCCCTCATCCTTTAAAACCTGTTTTGAAACTGGTCATCCTCTCACACACAGTTACTGTCATGTAAGAAGACGTCTTAGGAACTTGGGCTGACCATGCCTTCTAAAAAGATGCATATGTAAACAAACATTGCTTTTTTTTGCCCTCTTTTTTATTCTTCTGGAAGATCAGCATAGAAAACCATGGCATAGCGTACAATGATAACAGAAATACAGATCTCAATGTTCTTAGCCAGGTATTTGCCATTCTGCTGTAGGAGCTCCGATGGTAATGTTTCAGTTTCTTCAAGCTTTTGATTCTAACAGAAACAAACCTATCATTATAGCTTAAAAATAAAATTCTATTACAAAAAAACCCCACATTTTTTTTCTATTGTGCCTGTATGACCTAAATTTTTCTAATCACACTGTAAAGGTGAAATAAAGATTAAAATTTGACCTTGTAGTAAATAGGCACACTGGGAGATTTCCAGCAGGCTTGAATTTGTTCCAAATGTATTTTATTTTACTTCGGAGCGCAATATACAGACTGTGGCTCCACTTCTTGCTGCCTCATAGGCAGCCATTTTCTGAGCTGTTTCTCTGGCCATGAAGCCGTGTTGAAGAATCTTGAACTGTCGTTCCCGACTCTCTTCCAGTTCTTTCCAATGGTTCCACTGCAAAGAATCCTGCAGAAAAGACACACAGATGATCAGACTGGTTTTTCTTAGAGGATACACTGAACTTCTTTTTGATAATATGGCTGGCTGGCAACACAGGTTATTTGCTAACATGATTGGGAAACTTGTCAACATCAAACTGGGCATGATGGATAGAAAGGTAATGAACAGAAAGGTAACTTGATTGGGTTGCCCAGTTTAAGATGAATTAAATACAGCTGCAACACTCCACAAAATGTTAAGTCAAGATAAAACTGCATCTGGATGATTTGCTGCAATGCTGCTACCTTATCTTCTTTCTTTGCCAACAGTTTATTCTCAAAGCCATAAATGAACAGTTGCACAAATCCTATCAGACCCTACTGGTTTGCTTATTCAAAAGCTGGGTTCACAAGGGAGCATGCCCCAAAAAGCTCAGAACAAACAGAAAACTGCTACTTTTTTCATCTGATGCTTTGCTTAAAATGGTAGAAAAGTACATTTTTTTTCATTAATGGTAGTTTTTCTTATGGTTACTTTTCCAAATTGCAATATAAATTCTGTTTTATTAAAAATGTAATAGTGATTTATAAACAAATGTTACCTTGACTTGTATCAGCACAAGCGCATTGGGCCTAAAGGGCCATCACAAATGCAACTAAAGCCACAGTCTGGATTTGGAACTTTAATACAAGGGGTTAGTGTCACTTTTTTTCTTCTTATTGAGAAACCTAAAAGGTAGTGGTACAAACTGAATGCCAGATACCTGTTGTGTTATAACTAAGGGAGGAATTTTCTCCTATAGTCACAAAACCACCATTTTCAGCAATATGCAGTTCAGCTAGAATAAAGATGCTGCTGAACATATGTGACCAGAATTGTTCCACTTTGCTGTAGTAACATTTGGATTGGGTCATGCAGAGCTGAACAGCACTGATGGAAGATACACCTAGACACACCACCTAAATAATTCATAGTAACCTTGAATTTTTTCCATTTTTTCTTCTTTTTTAACATGTCTTAACATTTGAGCAGAACATGAACAAAAGCACTGTTACATCTTCAGAGATTTACTTTGTAAAGCTAAGCTGAAGAAAAAGACAAAATCTAACATCAAAACAACTTTCAAACCCTTTTCAAACTTTTTTTGCTCATTCACACGACACTCATACAGACCCACTTCAGGTAGTCAAATGTTCTAGCTGTGAATTTATAATTTCCTTTGGTTTATTTTTAAAGTGTCTCACATTTGTAATCATATGGCTGCTTTCCTTTGAAGTCTGCATTTATTGCTTCTATTTTATGCTGGACTCCATTCAGTGCATGTGTTCAAAACCTCAGTTCAGAAAGCCATCCCAATTTAGGTAATGCTTTCTTCAAATAGGTCTTCAATGTTTTCTTTGCTAAATGGGATTCTGAGGGCAGCAAACATTGATACCCTGAAAGATTACACTATTTTGTTTTTTTAAAATATACACACTTGAAACATGCAGTTTTCCTCTTCATTAAGTTCAGCTTCATCTAACTTTCTTACAAAATAGGTAGAGTTGTTATGTTAATGGATTGGGAGATTTAGTTCTTATTTTACACCGGGTTAGTACAGCTTTTAAAAAGTGATCCCATCATGACTGTCACTGCAGTGTTCCGTATGCTGTGGTACATGTCCTATTACTGGTATATGAACCAATTCTAAATGTTAGGCATGCATGAGGCAAGGTAGAGGCAGCAGCAGCAGCCGGAGCAGCAGTTCCTCACTGCTTGTCTTTAGACACTTGCCAAGGAAACACAACCAGTGTGAACAGCATAAAGCCTACAGGGCTACTGCTGCTTCCATCCAATGTTGTGAGACCAGGCTGAGGAAAGGCGAGGTAAAACCCATGGGAATGATAACCTGGAACGCGCCTTTGATGAGAGAGGTGGTGAGCATCCCCCTTTGGTGTAACAGGACGTGTGCGATAGGAGACCGAGAAAGACAAGAGTTAGAGACGGGGGTAAGATGCTGTTTCAATGGGATGAGAGCGTGTGGTTGTAAGAGTGGGAAGCTGAGTATTGTACGGATGAGCCCTGCTCTGTGGTAGCAGAATGTGTGACAAGAAGGTGAGGTCAAGGCCATGGCTTGGGAAAATTGTGCCTACGCAGGAAACAGGGAGTTGCTATTGCCAGTCATGTATGGCACCATCTGCCTCTGCTCCCCCTGCCAGTGCTGGCAGTTGAGCAAAAGTCTGTGAACAGCAGGTCTACTGCAGAGCTTTTCTCCTTATGTAACTCCCAGACCTTCCTTGACGCGATGCTGGTTTTCTGCGGGGTAACCTTTAAGAGTCCTGCTTGCTTTTTACGCTCCATTGTTTTCTCTACAATCTTTTTCTGCAGGTTTAAAATGCGTTCATCTTTCATCGGCCTTTCACCAGACTGGGACTTTCTTTTCTTTTCTTCTTGCCTGCAAGATCAAAAAGAAGCAATGAGAATGTAAAATAATATCAACCCACAGAATAAATCCATCTGAGCATATTACCTTGATAATAATGAATTTTCTCTTGCTTCTGGGAACCAGCTATACTCAAAACAGGTTTAAATCATATAGCTCGATGAATGTGGTATTCACAACTTGCTTCTTGTTGTTTACAGAACAATATTACTAAACAGTGTAGAATAATTTCTTCCCACAGGATGCCATGATGGCAGTATCTGAAGTATTTCAAGCCTGACATGACATTCTTTAGCAAAAGCATGTGCAAAACTTGTGATAATACTGCAGCTTTTTGCAGTATTAAACTTTGGAGTTTTCCTTATATGATCATTAGTATTCACCTCAATTGCTGAATTCCTTGGCAAATGAAAAATATTCTTTTCTGTGTAATCTCAATGCCCAGATTCAGAATCTATGGGATGGTGATATATTAAATAAGGTTAGTGGGTGCAGGTGAGCATAAATTGATAGCACCATGTGCAGCATAAAAGTAAGGCATAAGGAAGAGGTTATCAGATAGTCTTCCTTTTTTTCTTTTCTGTTGTAGCTATTTTTCTGTCCTCCGGTGTTTACATTTTATCTGGTTTTGCTTACTTTCACCCAACTGGCACAATTTACTCACAACTTCTTCATGTAGGTTACACCACCTTGCACAGTGATTCATTTAACATCCAACTTTCTCTTTTATTCAATATTGCCCTTGAATTTGTCTCAGTGTGATCAAGCTGCAATAGTAGTATTATTTCATGAGCAGCTGTGATTCTCTGGCCAAATTCAGAGCTCAAGTAAATGTCATCTCTACCAAAGAATCTCCATAGTTATGTAATATATAACCAGGTTAGATCTGATGCCTTCTCTCAGCTGACAAGGATACTTTTGTAAAAGGTCCTTTTATATTGCGGTAGTACAATTACAAGTGCTTTTATTGGAAACCAGATTCAGACTCCAAATGACCAAGAGCAGAGTGCACTGGGGCATTGTTCAGCCGATCCTGTAACTTACTCTGTCAGCAGCAGGACTAATTTCGCAGACAGGTTGCCCCTTGGAAATGTTTTATAACAGAACTCTTCCCTTATCTCTTGGGTCTTATGCCACAGTGTTGTCGGTATAAGGCATACTCTTCTCAAGAAGTTGGAGGCAGGAGAAGAAGGAAGAAGTTCCTTTTGATGCTAAAACCACCAGTTTGCCTTAAAAAGTGTCGGTATCAAGATTCCAGGGATCCAAACACTTCTCTCACCTCGGGAGAGATGGCTTTTGTCTGCCTTGTTAGATTCATCTTTGCTGATGGCAAACTCCCCATCATAGCAGGTATTCTTCAGAGCAGCCATTCTGGACTACAGTTTCCAAAGCCCTCAGGAACCAGCTAAAGGGGAGAATTGACCTATTGCATTCTGAAATATCATCGTAAACTTAAAATAAGGGGAACATTTTAGCTTGGCTTCTCATTTCCAGTTGCTTTCCTGAGACATTTCCTGAACCTCTCTGCTGCTTGTGTCAAGCTACCTGCTTGGGATAACACTTCCTCATCCTCTTTAATACGGTGGAATATTCTTCTACACTGAGGTTAATTTGTAATGCTATTCTGTAAATCTAAAAATTATGTACTATCGTTTAATCTAATTGAGAACATGGATTATATCTATTTGCATTGCAACAAGGCATTGCATTCCAAGGGATATAGGAGAATATAACAATAAGGTTTTATGTAAACACTTGATGATTAAATATTGTCAGTGGGAATAAGCAACAAAACCTTTCATTACATGCAAATCCAGATTCTTGTAAATACAATTACAGGAAATACAACAAGAGGTTTAACGTGATGAAGCAGGGCAGCTGCTTCTGAATTAACACTGTAAATAGTTGCTTATCCTCAGACTAATATTCAGTCCTTTTATACATGCAGTCATGTGCCAGTCATCTACACTGTTCGAAAAAGCTGCCAATCCCATGGATTTTCAGATGCCACACCACATCATAACAGAAACTCAAAGAGGGAAGGAATGAAAAAAGAAATTCTAAAATTCTGGTTTTCTGTAATGATCAGTTGAGAACTTTCAGGACTCAACACAGAAAAAGCTCATATGATCTCTGTTCCCCCATATCACATATTTACTAAAGAAGTAAGGTGACAGCCAGTCAGAATGGGGTAGTACATAGTTAGAAAAATCCTCTCCATATTCAATAGAAAATGAGGTGATAATTTATGAAAAAATATATGCAGAAGCCATTTTAATTTTACTTTAAAGTGTATTTACCAGCTACTGGTATTAAACGAGCACCTTGAATGAAAACCAATCTTAAAGAATCATACTAGTTCCTAAAATGTAATGTCAAAACTTTGGTCCAAAAGAGAATTTAATTTTCTTTTCTTTTGGTCTCAGACAAGAGTCTTCCATCCCTTTGTAAGTCTGCCATAATTAAAAAAATATTTCCCTACCAAAGACTTCGAAAAAATTTGAAATATTTTTGAAGTCCATATGTATTTGAAATGGTTTAACAGACTCTAGTTTTTGCTTAGCGACCTTGTCAGAAAAGTACCTTTTAGTGTTAAGGAATGAGATGAGATTCTTGAATGTGCTTATGGAAGTTTGTAGTAGTGTGAAATGTACATATAAACTACTCAAAGGAGGAAAAGTAAGGGATTAAGGCAAGATTCAACAGAACATGGCTATAAAAGCAAACAGTGAAGATTTCTTTATCTACCACTGATTTTGTTCTCTATTCATTGTCTGTGTAAGCTATGTGTACAGTCAACAGCAGAAAGATTTTAGCTCACTATGATGAAATACAGAACAATTCCAGCAGTGACGGGTAAAATGTAAGTGTCTTTCCATTAAAAATAATCCAGGCATTGTAAGCTGCAGTTGACATCCCCTATTTGTCTCAATTAATTCCTTGGTAAATATAATGAATTTTAAAAATATGTAAGTATTATTTTACTTCACATTTCACAAACTTGTCATGGAGTTTGGCAGTGCAACGTCTTCTTACTTATATATCCCTTGTAATTATTTAACTATCTGCCCTGAAATGTTATCATCTGACCAAATGGACTCTAGATCCAATAAGTCACCTGGCCTATAACTGAAGAAGCAGCAATTCAGCATTAAAGGTTTTCCTGTAGGAAATGAAAACACTTGGAGCAGCTAAATTAGGTCTTCTCAGCTGTGTTTACAAAATGGGGAATATGAAGATTTGCACGGAGGATTCCTCCTGAAAACTACATTTTGCTCTTCATTTACATTTTCAAACTCCAGCTGTACATCAAATTATAAGGAGATGGACATCTGACAGCTCTTAACCGACTGAATACTTGTAGGAGATAGAGTAAAAATGGCTACTGACCATTCTAGGCACCAAAATATCAACTTAAGCAGCTAGGACTGTATTTAGAAGCTCACCTTACAAAATGGAGTCTTGTGCAATAAACACAAATATATTTTTAAAAGCAAAAGTAGGATTGCCTTATAGTACAATAAATAATTTTTTCTTTTAATTTCCTTATACTCTCAGTCTCAGTGACTAGGGGTCTCTGCACTTCACAGTACCTTGCCTTTTTTCTGTCCTGCACTATATAATTCTTAGTTATTGCAGTGAGGAAAATTAATGTATCTATCTCTTAACAGTTCATTTTTAAGGCAGTTACTATTTTGACATTTAAGACTATTAGATTGATTACTATTTTGTAGTAATGTGAGGGATTTAAGCCCCTTCCAAAACAATTAACTTATTAAGCACCTAATTTTAGTTGGGGAAGTGATTGTTACTCGTAACAGTGTTTTCCTCATTTGAAATGAAGATTGTAAAGCTGTATAATCAAAGTTCATTCACAGAATCACAGAATGGCTGAGGTTGGAAGGGACCTCTGGAGGTCATCTTGTCCACTGTCACCTGCTCAAGCAGGTCACCTAGAGCAGGTTGCCCAGGACCATGTCCAGATGGCTTCTGAATATCTGCAAGGATGGAGACCCCACAGCCTCTCTGGGCAACGTGTGCCAGTGCCCTGTCACCCTCATAGTAAAAAAGCATTTCCTGATGTTCAGAGGGAACCTCCTGTGTTTCCTCTTGTACCTTGTGTCCTCTCATTGATCACCACTGAGAAAAGCCTGGCTCTGTCTCCTTTACAGCCTCTCTTCACATATTTAAATTTCTGATCCATCATTGCTGATGAATTTCCTCCTCCTGTTTCAATGCTAGTGAAGAACTCATTGCCAGCAGTAGGGACCGAGAAACTAAATATTATGTCCTTATTGCAAACACATACAGAACTTGAAGTATTTATGAAATTTGTGAAATTAATGAAATCACAAATATTTTGAAGTACCAAACTGAAGTCCCTTATACTGCTAATTATTCAGCTTTTTTCATTATTCTAGGCTATGTTTTTGAAGATCTGAAACAACAGTCACACGTAGGGATAGCATGGCACAGGTTCCCCTGTTACACCTTCCTACCTCCATGTGCTGTCTGCCCCTTCCCTCAGTTGTGTGCTGCATCAGAGGGTTGTGCTGCCAGGGTGTCTTACAGGTTTTTGAGGATGGGGCTCCATTCTCCCCTCCTCACTCAGAAGGCCTTTGACCCCCTAAGTCAGAGCTGGTTCAGGGAACACCTACTTTAGAGAGCTTGTTCTACTTGGAAAGGACCATCACAGTCATCCATCCATAACCCTCCCTTCTGCTTGTTCTCCTCTCCCTCCTTATAACCAGCCTTCCCCCTTGTCCTCCTGCCATGGCTGCCCTCACACTGCTTCCACCACTCCCCAGTCCAGGCCAAGAGAGAGGTGTTACACTGGTGCGTGGCCAGTGCCCCTTGCCAGGGAGGGGTTTGAGCACTGGCAGTGGCAGGGAGTGAAAGGAGTGCTTTGCCACCTTGGCAAACACACCATCGTTTGTAATCCAGTGCTGGGACCTCAGCGTGCTACACCATTACCACGGTGTGAGATGGGGATGTGGTAAACTTCTGTGTTGGTGGGAGTCTGTGCATCTTGTTCCTTGTAACAATTTTCCTCAGATACCAGGAAGCCAAGGAGGATTAGTGTCAGTTCAGAGTGTCACCCTGGAACAGCAGCTGCTACCTTCATCTGGATGTTGCCCTGACTTGGAGAGGGGAGGAGGCTCAGGCAGCAGGCAGCGTCATGTCACTTGAAAATGAGTAGGAATGCAAACAAGGCAGGAACATGAGCAAAACCAGAAACAAGGCTGGCTTCTCTGTACCTTATGTATGTGTCAGTGGCTGGTGGGGATGTGGATGTGCTACTGCAATCTGTGAGGCAAACAAAAGGATAGTGTGGTGTTCACTAGACGGGCTTGCAGAGGAGTGAGGAATTGAGTATGAGAAGTTTTGTGAGATAACTTTCCTCTGGACAGCTTTAAACCATATGAATGGTGAGAACAGGCAGTCCCAAGACCAGACTAAATCCAACCCAAAGTAAACCCCCGAAACCACAGATAATGTGGATGGAGAGAGCCTCAGCACCAAATGGTTTGATCTGTTGCTTGATCCTTAGTGCATTAAATTACTTGGAGTAATAGATGTAGCCTCACTGGAATGAAAGGGAATTGTACCTGAAGTATACAGGCATGTAACTTCAGTACATTATTAGCATGTATTCAAACACTCATAAATCTTTTGGTGCTCATGTTTGAAAGCTGAGAACTCAAATGTTTGTCAACTTCATATGCCAGTGCTGTTTTTCAAACTGTGTGAAATTCTAGTAATTAAAGGGACGTCCTGTGTACTTACTGAATTGATTCTTAAGTGTTCTGCAAGCACTCACAAAGCCACTGCTGTGATGGATGTCACAGCTTGCAGTCTATTAAAGGCTGATATCTCTGTAATTTTTTATGTTCCATTTCCTATTTTGTTTAATATAGCTCGTTATATGCTTGCTCAATGTGCTTCTGTTGTGTTGATGTATGTCTGTTTGTAAATGATATTGAAAGGAACCTGCTTGGTAGGGACCCAATTAAACTCCAGCTGACACTAACTAAAGCACATTTGTTTAGCAAAGCTTAGCCACCATACTTTAGTAGTAGCCTTCAACATAATGCAATTTAAGATACAACATATAATTTTATATTGATGCATACGGCTATCTTATGAAGACTATTGGTAAGATTTGCTATTCTATCCCTATAATTATGAATTAATTCTGTAAAATAAAAATTTGCTTTTTACATCTCCTGTGCAGCATATCAGTAATACAACCCAAGCAATCACTCACTCACTCACTCACATTGACTTGCTAGATATTTCAGGATTCAAGATCTGTAAATCAGAAGCCTATAGTTTGTTTAGAGAGAAATAAAAGTTGCAGCAAAGGGTCAAGCATTTGTAAATAGGCCAGCATGCCATACTTCCATATTAACAGAAATAACCACAGATTTGTATTCTAGATGAAAATGCATTAAACATACTCCCGAAGAACAGCATTTCTGGTATACTTTGATGATGCCTGTTTATAGTAGATGCTCCCAAGTTACGTACATACATTGCCTGGGAGCCATGAAAGGAAATGTCTTAGAACATCTATAATGAAACTTTGTATTTTCTTTATTTGGAGAGCAAACAGGGCTCCATTAAAATTACTGTATTACTTATCATGAGTCTGACTAGAAGCTTGCAAATTAAGTGTTAGATTTCATTTGGATTCTACTATATTTGGCATGCTGGTCTGTTCTAAAAAATAGTTCAAATGTCAGGACAAAAAGTGAATCAAAGTTAGCTTCTCATTCAAGCATAGCTTATTTCAGGATCAGAACAGTTTTAGAGCTGAATTAAGCCAGAGTCTAGTTTAAAGAAACCCAGCACTATAAGAAATTCACAGACTGCACATCTAGCATAACAAATTATTCTTTTAAGTAGCTACTAGTGAAACAGATTTTATGTAGTATACAAGTTCTTAATGTCTAGTTTGCATCTCTAGTGGAAAGCAGTGGCTTGAGTTGCTCCCACAGGCTTTCACACCAGTGAATGTTTAGCAACAAGAGCGTATTTCCAGCTCCAACTCCATTTCAGGTTCTTTAGCCTTAAAATCTTTTCTTGATATATGCCATAGAAGAGAGGGTCACTGATCTATGCAGTCAATCCACTATGCAGTCAATCCACTGCAGCTGCAGTTATTGATTCATTAAGCTATCTTCTTAAGTATTAACATAGTAAAACCCCAGCCTTTGGAGATTAACTATCATCAACAAACCAAATTAGAGCTGGGACTAGTGAAAACTAGTTAAATGAATACATCAATTCTGCCTTCTGTAATTGAGATTTAGAACTGGACGATAAATCAATAACATGAATCTAAGAAGCCACCTTTGGTATCTCATCAATAAACATGAATCTAAGATATGTCTAAAGTCATGTGTTTTTAGCCTGATAGAATATGTCTTCAGAATGTCAGCCTGAACATCTGTTTGCAAAATAATGGCAAGACAAGGACTAACTTCCCAAACTCCCCAAAAGGAAAAGGTGAAAAACAACTTGAAAAAAAACAATGGCAAATAGTCAAGTTGCAGTAAAAATGGAATGAGATTGAGAGGTGTGTCATATTTTACATTTTTACATGGGCTTTCTTCCTGCTTAATGTCATTTGTAAATAGCTTTAACTTAGATTTTAAGATTAAACTCTTTGTGGAAGGGACCTGTCTTCTGCATATGTGAAGCATCTATAATGGTTATGGATCCTTTATGACAATGAATAATGAATATGAATAATGCATAAAAAATTTGATCAGAGAGGCTGTAAGCAAAGATTTTTGTCTTTGATCTACTGCTATAATATATTTAATTTATAACTTATTATTGTTATCAGAAAAACTCCTTCCCAAAATATTTTAAACTTCTAAAATAAGGTCTGCCTTTTCACATGACAAATGAAGTTCAAGGAAGAAAACTATAGCCCTAATGTATTGGTTTAGATGAAAACAAGAAACCACTTTAAGTAGCAAGTTAGAATGATTATAATAAAATCAAATTAGTTCTGATTAGCTGAAAAGAAGAAAGTCAGAACGTCTTTCTCAATATGTAATATTGGCTCTGAATCCTGGGACAATACTGGCAATACTAGCCTATGGAGTGTCTTCAACCACAAATTCAAAATTATGAAAAAGATTTGTTAAATCTGATGCAATTTTTTTTTTTCAATAAAAAGAAAATCCTGGCCCCAGTGTAATCCTTGACAAAAGTCATACTGATTTATGAAAGGGCAGTATTTTCCTCTTTACTTGTTTTTCTCAAGGGGCTAGCAAAATATTAATAAAGTTGCAATATCTTAAATGTCACATGCTGGTTTATACTGACTTTAGAGCAGCTGCTCGTCCAAGTTCTGCTCTGAACAGGGAAATCTGGTCCAGTTTGTCTAGAAGAAGTTGTTCCTTAGCTTGTTTTTCATGGATGATCTGGTCTCTCTTCTCTTCCTCTGCTGCCTTCTGTGCTTCTCTGAGTAGAGCGAGGCGTTCACGTAGTTCCACTATTGACATTTCACAAATTAAACCATGGCCACCAGTCTAGAGAACATGGAATATAAGTTTAAATAACACTGTAAATACCAAGGGGAGAGTAAATGAGTAAAACCAGAATATTTTGATTGTGTTCCAAATCAAGCTGAGTATATTTTGACTTCAAGAAAGATAGGGTTAGCCCTAACCTAACTGTTTTTTATAAGCTGTTTTTAAGGTGTAGAGCTTACCTTTCGTATGTGTAAAAACAAGGCTTACAAAATGTTTCCTGAAAAAGCATTGACATATACAGTAGATTAATCATAAATACAACATATTCACTGTCCAAAAAAATTCTAGTTGATATCTTTTAGTTTTAATAAGACTTTCACAGTTTTTAAATGTGTAACACTGCATATTTTTTAGTTTGTAAAACCAGGACAGACTTTACACTAAAAAATATGCATCTTTTTGAATTTATCTATTTCCAAATTATGGATTTGATCTATGATGGCATCTTCTATTTTTATCTGCAAAGACTAGGATGAAATAATGCTTTGTACCCAGGAAATGCAGATCTTAATGCCCAAAGTTAAAATATTCAAACCTGAATGTTTAATGAAGACTTTTTAAAATTCACTTTGCAATGAAAGTGATAATGAGCCTGATTCTGAGATGTAATGAGAGACTTCTACACCTTAGTTTACATAAGAAGACAGATAATTTCCAAACAGATTTGTGAACACTTGAAGTTTTTGGCCCTTGCTCTTACATATGCTCTTTCTTTCCCTATGTCTACACATATATACATTTTCATATATGGAAAACTTGCATGAACCCACACAAATACTGAGCTTCTGTGTAGCTGTCTTTGCAAAATTTAATCAATTTCACACTAACTAATATTCTTCTGTCTCTCTTAACCCAGGTTTAGTACACATTTTTGGTGCGTATCTTGTATCATGTCATGTTGTAATGGAATATCTGGGTGCAGGAAGTCAGGACACTAACCTGACTCTTGCTATGCAGTTGTATAATAACAGAGTAAAACACTGGTTAGGATTTTAATCACAAAGACCTTGCTTTACTTAGTTCCATAGAATTAGTTACCATGAGGAGGGGGGTGTGGAATCCAAAAGAACAACCACTTCTCCAAATTGTATTTCTCAGACTGAAATTAAGTGGTAGTGATAAACATATGTAAGTAAAACTCATTAAAATCCTTTTAATGGAAAGAATTTATTCAGTTAAAGAACCTTCATTTTATCAGGCAACCCGTTTTAGCAGGAAAAAAAAAACCTTGTCTTGAATACTGAGTTGTTGACAGAAGAGTAGCTGCCTTTCTGCTTTTGAGCTTTTCACAAAACAGAACATGAATGGTAATTAAAAAAAAACCAAAAACAGGAAAAGAGAAGGATGCTCTGTCATAGATAGATGCTCAGATTGTCAGTTTGGCTGCAAGAATTAACCTGTGTCCAGTCCCTCTTCTCCAGTCTGGGATGCCATCTAAGTAGCCTAGTCAGGTACTCATCCTCCAGTGACCATTCTTTGGCTGTTCAGAGCAGTGGGTCCATGAAATAGGGGGAAAGCCAAGAGAGATGAAGAAAACAGTAAGGCGGGGTGGGGGGTGGCAGGGTCAATAAAACCACAAAATAGAGTACGACAAATAACCAGGCTTGGCTCTCTGCTGCCACAACATTGCAGCTTAAGAGGGATTATTATTGAGTTAGTCTGGCGAATCTAATGATACAAGCTTGTTAGCGAAGGAGAACATGTCTTGGGTGGCCATCCCTGGGGACTCCTCCAAGATTTCCAAGAATGTCTCCTGCAGTTTTGGTCCCCATCACTTCTCTTTCTAAAGCTTCAAAAATTGAGTCAGTAAGAAGAAATCATGACTGTCTTTTCACCTAAAGTCTGACTCTACAATTTTGGCTCAGTGGTTTCTGCTTCCACGTTCCTCATGTGTACCAAACATGACCTAAACAATGGTCACTAGTAGCATCAGTAGAAGACTGATAGAAGCGTTCAATATTAAGCAGTCTTTATTTTTGCATCTCTTTGAAAAGTATGTACTACCATAGGTTACTGAAATGGAAATGACCATTTATCTCCTGCTCAGGTTTCAATTTAGAATGAGTTTGCAAACAGCAAGTGCTATAATAGCTTGCCTCTAATTTAAACTAGTCAATGATCATCAAGTTGTATTCACAGAAAGTGAAAGGAAAATGCTTTGCAGCAGGGCATATATACCAGTGGTAGTGCTACAGCATGGCAAGCAGACACTGAAAAGGTCTAGGAAAGGGAATTTCATAGAAGCATGGAATAGATGCTGAATATTTTGAGGGTCTGCATTTCAAAAATATGCAGTGAAGACAGTGATGTGGTTCCTAAAATGTGAAAAGTCCTATACTCATGCAGGAGATAATGCTGGTGTTCAAACAATTTCAGTGCCATCAAGGGAAGAACTGGGTACTTGAAAAATTATGAAAATGAATGAGAATTTTATGGACACATACATAAATTCCACTAAGCCTGAAAAAGCCTTTTGTAGAAAGAAAAAAACAGGGCAAGCTATGACCAAAAGTCTGCTAATTCACTCAGAGTGCTATAGTAATAGTGAATATAAAAGAACTGTGAAGTTGAGATATAGAATCATAGAACGATTTGGGTTGGAAGGGACCTTTAAAGGTCATCTAGCCCACCCCCCCTTGCCATGGGAAGGGACATCTTTCACTAGATCAGGTTGCTCAAAGACCCATCCAACTTGTTCTTCAACACTTCCAGGGAGGTGGCATCCACAACTTCTCTGGGCAATCTGTTCCAGTGGCTCATCACCCTCACTGTAAAAAATTTCTTCCTCATGTCCAGTCTAAATCTACCCTCTTTTAGTTTAAAACCGTTGCCCCTTGTCCTACCACTACAGGCCCTGGTAAAACATCTTTCTCCAACTTTCTCATAAGGCCCTTTATATACTGAAAGAACACAATAAGGTCTTCTCTTCTGATTGTTTTTGTGGCCCTCCTCTCGACCCACTCCAACAGGTCCATGTCTGTCTTGTGCTGAGGACCCCAGAACTGGCTGCAGTACTCCAGGTGGGGTCTCACCAGAGCAGAGTAAAAGGGGAGTATCACCTCCCTCAACCTGCTGGCTACGCTTCTTTTGATGCAGCTTTCTGGGCTGCAAGCACGCATTGCCAGCTCATACTGAATTTTTCATCTACTAGTGTCCCCAAGTTCTTCTCAGCAGGGCTACTCTCTATCATCCCCCAGCCTGTATTGATATTGAGGGTTGCCCCAACCCAGGTGCAGGACCTTGCACTTGGCTATGCTGAACTTCAGGAGGTTCACATGGGCACACTCCTCAAGCCTGTCAGGGTCCCTTTCCTCAAGTGTATCAACAACACGACCCAGCTTGGTGTCATCTGCAAACTTGCTGAGGGTGCACTTAATCCCACTATCTATGTCATCAGGGAAGATATTAAATAGTTTTGGTCCCAGTACAGTCCCTTGAGGGATACCACTCATTACTGGTTTCCACTTGGACATTGAGCCACTGACTGTAACTTTTTGGATGCAGCCATCCAGCCAATTCCTTATGCATCTAACAGTCCATCCATATCATTCAGGTCCATTCTCTTGTACTTGCTGTATGACCTGTATGGCCACTCCATTTTCAGCAACCTTACACTTCAGTAACCTTACACATAGGATAAGTTTGAATTTTGAATGAATTTTTCATATATTACTTGAAACCTGCTGTGTTTTTCTGCTCTGTCTTTTGAGATGAGCTAGATGGGAAAATGTATTTAAAGCCATATTCTCTACTTATAGACAATCAGTATGTCAGAGGAAGCTATATGTGAGGGGTCAACAGCCACTGTAAGTGGCAATGAAATGAACCACGTTCAAAAATGAGAAATTACTGACATTCCAGTTACCTTCATTTTCATGAATGAGAGTCTGCACCATTTTACAGAAGTTGTGATTGAAGAAATAATGACATTTCCGCATCTGACTACATCATACCAGTGTGTCTTTGCAGCCTACACCTTGTGACTGAATCATCTGGGTAACACATGTGCAGTGAGACCATGCTAAGGGCTCTGTTTAGGGTTGACACCATGTGCAACTCTATCTGAAGCAGTAGAAAACCCATAGATTGGAGTACCTGTTGGCAGTTGCATGCAGACAGTTTACAGTATCTGTGGTGTACAATACTTCTTTGTACTCTTCACTTTTTTCCCCTGCTTTTTCCTTTGTGGGTCAGTAGTATTTGTCCACAAATGGGTGGAGCAATTCTGGGTTTGAAAAAAGTGAATTGTCGTCTTTGGCTGGGACAGAAGTGGAGAACTGATGGCAACAGCCATAAAGGCAACCAAAGAGAGTAAAGGAGGTTGGGACATCTGGGTAGCTTTGGAATCAATGAATAGCTCAGTTCTCTTCAGAGAAGCAAGAGAGAAAACCATTGACTGTTCCAAGAGCCCCATGGAAGGAAGACCTGTTCCTTCTGTATGTTTTCTGCAGACTAGCCATGGATGCTTTTTAATTTGTGGTCTTCATTTGAATACTCATGAAAGGAAAGAAAAAAACTGAAAGGATTATATTCAAAATTGATAGTGCAATTTTATGTTTTTCCATGTTATTCTTCTTTCAGTGTGGATAAGAAAAATGGAAGAATATTTTCAGCTACTCTGCTTCTGATTTAGTGGTAAGATAACAGATTTCCAGATGCTGCCTAAGTCTGGAAATTCTGCAAAAGTGGGCATTGCAAAGCCCAATCTCAGGCAATCTTAGTTGTTGTGCATCAATAGTAAGTCCAAGAAGTTTGGGATATGTTTACTGTAGACTTAACCACACACACACAAGTACATGCATAACAGCTTAGCAGACTATGAGTTCTCGTGATTACCTCTTTTATATACCTGAATGTTGACACTTTTGAAAGCACAGGAAATTAATTTTGCTAATTACCATGACAATCATCACTGTACATTAGTCCAAACTTTGTGTTCATTCAGTCCTTACCCAGGTCTGAGAAATCTGTGAATTTGTGAAGATGGATAGAACATGTTGTAATCATTTGCCAGTCTTTTTTTGAAAGACATTGGGAAACCAAGATCCTACTGGCAAAATTCAAAGAAAGTTCAAGGGAACTAAGATTTCACTTACCATCAGAATATTCTTCCTGGTAAAATGTTCATTCTATAAACTTTGTGCAAGTTCCAGCTCAGATCTAACCTTTGTGTCATGGTGTCACTGTACTTAATGCTATGCATACAGACTGCAATAAATCTGCACACAGTACACTATTCCTCTGAATGTGTGAAACATATATAATACACATGTATGTAAAAACAGTAGTTTTTCCTTTTGAGCTTACCTCAGTTAAATCAACAAACTTGTGTCTGAGGCTTGGTAAAGACTCAAGAGCTCGTATTTGTTGAATTAGTTCATATCTTTTCCTAAGCTTCTCCTCCTCTTCTTCTAAAGCTCGCCGAAGAAGTTCTCGATTTTCTTCACAAACTTCCTGAACTGAAAGAAAAGAACTAATCTCTGTTAGCAGGATGCATATTTTAACAAGTAGTCCATCTGGAGGAAAATTCATATGCATTTGTGAATAACGATAATTATACTGATCTAAAGGTACTTGAGGGAACAGTCTGGCATTGGTGGGAGGAATAATTAGAGAAACAAATGAGTTCTTCCCACCTCCAGTATCTATTATTCTATTCAACACAAAACATACTGCATACATACATAAAGTAGACACTTTGAATTACTGCTTTGTATTTTTTTTCTAATTAGTGCATACTGTTTCGTTATTTAATAAAAGGATATTATACAACAGCAAATATTCATAGTTTTTCAAGCTATATATATGATAGAAATCATTGAATTGCAAAGGCTGGTAGGCTTCGCTAGGCCATTTCGGAGTGGCTAATACCCTCTGCCTGCCTCAACCCTTTCTGATACAAGTATGGAGGTACACAAGCAGAGAAAAGTCTGCTCACCAAAATATGCACAACTGCAGGTAGCCTGTTCATACAGTAGATGTTAACATGGCATTGCATTGGACTATGTACATCCATGCCAGTCAGAACAGTCTTCTCCCTGCACTTCATTAGCTAATGCATTAACTGAAGAATTTTCTTTAAGGATAATGGAGGATGAGTAACATTATTTCCCTTCATCCTAATGCCTGATCTGTCTTGGAGGTGCTACATCCCTTTCCCTTATGATACTGTCCTTCTAGAAGATGGCTTTTCTTTCCTTAGCTACAGTCTCCTTCTCTGGACTGTCTTCTCTGAGCCATGATTCTTTCACAGTGGTTGCTAGGCAAACTGTCTCTTAATGATATGAATCACAGGAATCTGAGCTTAATAACTTGATTTGACAAAAAGTATAGTCATTCACATATGCTACTTTTAGATGGAAGGGAAACCAGTTGCAGAACCTTAGTGCTGTATTTCTCCCTTTTAAACAATGCATAATTCCCATGACCAGTAGCTTAGGATTTCTGATCTACGCATTACCAGCTTATCCCTGGAATTCATATTTATGCATTCATGGGAATGTATAGCCTGGATCTTTCCCTCAACTTCCCTTTCCTTTCTGTAAAAATTGTAATTGGCCCACTAAAAGAAAGATAAAGTAATGTGGGGACATTTGGCATCATCTCTCATTTTTCTGGCAATATATAAATACCTATCTGTTGTTTGTATTCCTGGAGCTTTCTTTTTGCTTGCTTTGCATTCTTGTGTCCTTCCGCGACCTGCTCCACCAGCTCTCTCATTTCTTTCTGTTCCTGTAGACGTTTCTCTGCGTACTGGTGCATCAACTCTGCTTTCTAAATCCCAAACAAACAGGTGAATAAAATTCCTGACAACTGGTGATCTGAGTGCCTCAGATCACCTTCAAATCATTGAAATAGTGCAAGGACAAATGGATTCAAAGTATTACATCATCCACAAAAGTAGCAAAGGACATTGACTGGGGACAACATAGAGACCTAGATTTAAGCTCCCCTCTCTATGTTTTATTTACCCACAACAGCCCTCCATAACATTTGCACTGCTCTCACATCTTTTTAAAAGCAGACAGAAAAAGCCATCTCTGGATCTGGTTGTGAGATATGAAGAAGAGTGCCAATCTAAGACACTGCAGGATCTTCCTGGGCCTAGGTCATATCTCTGTAACATTCAGAGAGTCCACTTTTGGTTATCATGTTCCTTTCTTTTTCAGAGGAAATGAACAGGAAGCAGGAAACTGGATTTTCCCAGATTAGATTCATTACTGTACTTTCTGGTTTAGATGGAAGACTAGAGTTTTAAAAGAAGGAGGGGGGACAGCGTGACAACTGTTGGTGAATGAAGAATTGGTGCTTAGTACTTCTGAAGGTCTCCATATAGGTGAAGTGACCTGCTGGCATCTGTTGGCAAGTGAAGGGAGCTGCCTGGAATCGGTCAGGTTAGAGCAAACCTGATTTGCACATCCTCAAATCTATACATATTGGGACATTTCTGTTAACAAATAAAACACAAGCTCTGAAATTGAGGTGAATAGAATAATTACAATAATTTTTGAATGAGTGTGAGCGATCACACTATGCTTAGTTGTACATAGTAGGGTTCACTTTAAGTTCTTGCTACAGCCTGTCTAAACAGACATGAAGACTCAATGCCAAAAAAAGGTTGAATTATTTTTTTAAAGGCCAGAGAAGGAACTCATTAAGCAAGTTTCCCTTTTGCAGTATGGCCTTTGTGAAAATTCTGTACATTTGTGGTAGCATCTTATGTTGCTGAGACACTGCAGAGACATCTGTGAGAGGTGGCCAAGAGAAAAATACTGGCAGGTCTACAGGGCGTAGCAGCAAACTGGACTAATAGAAAAGAAAAGCGTGTGGTACTGACTATGAAAAATTCAAAATCTATAGTATAAGTTATTTCTTGATCACTTGTTTAGTTTATAGGAAAAGCACTGGAAAAATGTGAGTTTGGGAAAAAAATTAAAAGATCTAGCAATGTTTTTGGGAAACTGTAATTTGCCAGATTGGAAACTGTGTGACAATACTTCTTGGCATAAATATTCAGTTTTCCATATATATAGATCCAGAGAGGGTCCTCTGCCTGAAATGTCCCCTAAGAGAGCTCTAGGCATGTCAGATGATATCAAGTAAATTGAATTATATGAGTTTAAGAAAACAAATTCTTTCATATTTGTGGCTCTCATTTTAACAAGATAATGAAATTAGTCATATATTGGTGATTTCATTGCAAATGGTGCTTAGTATCTCAGTATCTGTTCGAAAAGGATATGCACAATGACATAGGGGAGAATGCTTTAACCTTCTGTTTTATTCAATTTACTTCGTGTTATCAATCAAATCAAACACTTGTAAGAAGTACTTAATATATAAGCATTGTTGTATCTGGAAGTTATAGCACTATTTTTCCATTGTTTGCAGACTCCATTGAGTAAAGGCCCTGTATAGAACTTTTATACCTTCTTATAGTGAGTATCATCTGTGGTACGTTTGCACTGATTGAATGTAAGCCAAATTTGAGCAACTTTGATTGTATTACCTGTTCTCTCATTAGATCTGCTTTCTTCTTGTTTTCTTGAATTACATTCTGATGAGCTAGAATTGCCTCTTCATGACTCAGTTTCCCTTGAAGCCTCCTACACTCTATTTCAGCGAGCTGCCCTTCCAAATCTTTTCCACGCATCTGCTTTTGCCATTCCAGGAATTCAGATGGGTCTCCAGCACCTTGTAGCAAATTTTCAACTCTGACAGAGAGAAGAAAGTATACTATTCTAGGGACCTGGGTCTGCAGCCCTGCCTTGGTTCGTAAAACATTTCTAGTAGTTTGTTGTGATATAAGGTGTTTGATCTCTGCAGAGAAAAAGGGCAGTCATCCCAAAGTCACTTGAGAGATATATTTTAACTCCAGTCTAAGAGGTATTTGTGCTATGTGGAAAGCCTGGGAAAGCCTGGCTAGAAGAAAGTGCATGAGAGCATGGACCTGAAAGTTTTCAGTAAAACAAAGCCCCAAGAGAGGGCAAACTTTAGCTACATACGGATTCTCATAAGGAGTAAGGAGAACAAGGCTGAAGGTATGTACATTTTCTCAGATGATTACTTTGCTTAGAGGTAGAAAGAACAAATAACTTTTCTCTTTGGCAATCTTCTTGGCCACCTTAACACAGATAACTAAAAACCTTTCTGCTTAATTCTGTTTCTGTTTTGTATTTTGTTAATTAAATAATATTGCTGTAGTGAGGCAAAGAAGTGTTCCACTATTAAGCTAAACCACATTCTTATTTTTTGTACTCTGCTGAGAGAGAAAAGTATAGCAAAGCCCTGGGGCAGGCTCATCAAAGTCCTGCAGCAGAGGATTGAATGAGCCAAGAATTAGGGCAGAGACACAAAAATGCAGTGAATTGCGCCTTACTGCTGCTCCCCAATGAATATATATATGTATCTGTTCTGTGTTAAATGCAGCTGAAGATTAAAACTCAATATAAAATAGTGTTAAGTTACAGGGAAAATCTATTCCTTTGCTGAGTGGAACAATATTCTGCCAGAGTGAACAGTATCATACGTAATATAAAAGAACCTCAATATACATACATAGCTGATAACAGAACCCGAGTGATGCATGATATCCTACTGCTAAGATCCTGATCCATATACCAAAATTTGCTACGTCCAAAGACCAAATCCAACCTTAGGCAGTCACTCCAGGACTCAAAATGCTAACAGTATTTAGTGCTTAGCCTGCTAAGTCAGGTGGATTAGAAATAATACTAAATCAAGATGACATGATACAGGTTTTATCTTTGCTAAAATTATTAGTGAAAATGTTCTGTAATTCTAGTTAGCGAATACAACCTGCAGTGGCCATTCAGGAGTCACCCTCTCCCTAGTTAATGTCAGCTGAAAACCTATGCTGCTGAATAAGGATTCCTTATGCCAGACAAATCCTTACGTCAGGATTCCTTAGAGCCCTAAGTGCACCAAAAGGACCTGCAACCTCTTATTCCCCACCCCTACTTAGGATTTAGTTGTTTGTTGTCAAAGACAACTCTGTTGCAGTGCAACCATATGACATCGGATCAGACTGGAGTGAAAAGAATTGTGTGAGGAAGAGCCATGAAAAATCTTGTTGTATCTGTAGTTTCTTCCTGGAAGCCACATTTAAGCTCATGTTAACAGTCTTTGTCCTTGCCTAAGCTATGCTGTAGGTATGACTGCACGCAGCCTAGAACCTTGTTGACCCTGCCTTGTTGACTTGGCTTCTTGGCTTGACCTCGGCCCTGTCTTGTTACTATGGACTCATCTAATAATCACAGGACTGTTGGCTGACCCTGCTGTCTGTTGCTGGCTCCACTCTGCTGCCTTGCCAGGGTACTATGGAACTGAGCTGCTGTCAATGAGGACAGTGTCCCTGCATGCTTTGCTGTCACCCTCAGCTCCTAGCTCATCTTGCCTCATGGAGCAGCACACTCTTAGTCCTCCATATCTTACTGTGATAGAAATGGACAGGTATTCTTATATACATATAAACAAGTTTTATATACATATAAACAAGTTCAAGTGTCAAATTTGGCACATAGTTGACCACAAACCATTGAAGAAAATCAAGGTATATGAAATGATTTGGCTTAATATATATATACCTTTTATAATGGACACAGAAATAGATGTGTATTTGGGTCATCATTTATTCTGGAGAATTGGAATAAATATAACAAGTGATCCTTATTGGACTTCGCAAGTGGACACTAGCCAGAGTGCTAAATCAGAACACAGTCACACTGTATGGCATCTACAGTAAAACAACGACTTTAATGTAGACTTTCATTTCAGTTCACTTTTCTCGTTATTTGTCCCCGTGTTTATACAATAGGTTCCTAATGCCTTACAACAGATCCATTATTTTAGTTTACTTAATTATGGAGTTTACTTAATTATTTTTATTTTTTTAAATTTATTTTTAATTTTAATTATTTTTAATGTGGTCAATTATTCTATGTCCAGGGATGTGAAAAGTCATCTGAGAAAGAAGCGTGATTATACCTCTTGAGCTCCTGTTCCATTTTCCGGTGATAGAGGGCACCCTCTCTTAAAATAGCTGCAGCATTTAATTTAATAGGTATATTGTCAATCTGTCAGGAAAGGAAATGTATATACTACAGTTAGTAATGTAAACCATAAAACAGAGTATAAAAACATTTCAATGGGTTAAATAAATCGACCTAAGACAGCATAAATTTTGCTTAAAGCATTCATCTAGCATTAATCTGACATTCACAATGAAATTGCATGCTGTTCATAAACCACTCAAGCTGCTTAAGAAATCAGCAAAGTCCCCCAAGTGGATTATAAATTTGTAATCACTCTTGGACCATGTCAAATCCCATAGAATGTGCTCACTTCCATTTTTTCAGTGCTCATATACATAGTGTGTGGAGATTCCATCTGCTTTGGACAAAGCAAATAAACTGCTTCTCTGAAAGATGGTAGAGTAGCCAAAACCATTAAAGTAAAACATAAGCAGTACCTTTCATAGGAAGGTCTCAAAAGTGTTTTACAAATAGTCACTATTTTAACTTCAAAATATTTCTAAAACAACTGGCATCACCAATTGCCAAATCCATTTTCTAGATAGTAGAATTGAAGTACAGTTCTCAGTGACTTTCAGTCCTCATGGTGTCACTTGGACTAGATCCTGTGACTGCTTTGCAGTTCTTCAAAGTATTGCCTTAGGACTAACTCTGAGATAACCTCTAAATACTGAGGGAGGAAGGGAACAACCTCTCTGCCAGCTAAAAATGTTCCCTGCACAACTAGGCTGTTCAGAAAAAATATATCACCTTTGCAGACACGTATAATAGACCTGATCCAAACTGGGGCAAAGCAGTGCTGGTGGGATAAGAACTGGGATCATTCCTGCAGAAAACAAAGCTTCATCATGACACATTTGACCTAAATCCAGACAAGTTCTCTGTTTGCAGAATCCAAACACTTATTTAAATTCCAAAGTAAAAGCTTAATGAGTGGCTGAGAAACAGGTGCACAGAATCACTCAAGCTATATACTGCAAATATTGTATGCACAAAAATATGTACTGCGGTGTCCTGAAATACATAAGCTAACTGGAAAAAGGAGGTTTTATAATTAATATTACCTAGGTAGGCTGAGGATAACAAACACATGCTATCACCTAGAAATTCACTAAGTAGAATTACTGTGTTTTCCACACAGATGGCACAATTTAATGGACAAAAATTAATTACCTGTTTCTTGACAAAATGATGATGACTTGAAGAATTTAGGAAAAGAATCCCAAACAATGTATTTTATTTCTTTTGTTTGACTCACTATACTTATTCTTCTTAACGCCTAATGATGTCCTTCCTTCCTTCTGGTCTACTTCTCAACTCCTCTCAAAGTCTTCTGCATTATATGAACATTCACTCCTCAGCCTGTATTTCATACATTATACTATGTATAAATGTAAAAATTTTCATAGTTTTGGCAATTACCTGTGTATACACACTTCATGTTCTGTATTTACTAACTATAATTTGAATAGAAAACTGAACTAAGAATGATAATGGAAATACCTTTAACTTCAGTTTCCCAGTTTATTAAACAGAATATGACTGTATGGCAATGAAACAGAAATATGACAGCCCATATAGTCAAAATAACTAGGACTCCCAAGATAGATGCAGGCAGGTATAAGTAAAATATCCTAATAGATTTTTCTATTCAACCTGGTATCAAGGAATTTTTGAATTCTACTTGTTCTCTTTCTGTCGTGAGCTATCTTCCCTTTTTTCAATATGAGAAAATGGAAATAATCAGGAAAATCACAAAACACTGTAATTCTTGTGGAAAAAAATGTATTCACTATTTCCACCTAACAAACACATGAAACGAATAATTATGTAAAGAGCAAGGCCTGATATGAGCAAAAGGCAGATTGAGACAGAGTGATGATGCATTTTTACTGTCTCATTCGTCCAGTGAAAAGGATGAATAGGTATTTTGTAACAGCAATGAGAAATAATTGCTGCTGCACATAATAAATGTGTCTGAGATGAAAAAAATTTATTTAATGTACTGTGGGTGTTCTAAAAAGAGGAAAGAAAATACTACTTGGTTACAATACTATATAATTTAATTAATTTGAGGACAGATTATAATTTTCTTTATACACCTTTATACACCTTTATACACTTTCCTCTTAGGATTTGTCTACTCTAATGCAACAAGAATAGAAAGTATTTCAAAAGTCAATAACAATATGCCTCTCTCAGCTTGAAAGTTATAGCGGCATCTTGAATATCACCTAACCAACCTTTATGGCAAATGTGTTTAGACGAGATAAAACTGAGTGTGCTCCTAGAGGACATACTAGCAGGTGTTAGAAGTGGCCCTGATCAATGCCGTAAGATGCCAGATCTGTATTTTTCTTCATGCAATTTAGGCAGATGATTTGACTCTTATTAGTCCGCACTAAGGTTTCAGTATTTTAAATTATCAGGAAAGGAAGTGGAATATATATACTCTTGAACTAAGTCCACATAATTACAGGTCATGTGTGTTTGGGTTAACTATGTAAATGTTTCCTGTTTTGGTTTTCTTCCCCTCTTTTGAGTGCAGAAGGAACTGGGATCTTACAACTTTCCTGTAATTTAAATGCTGCTGGATTGTAAGCAAGCAGACTGAATAGGTGATACTGTTATTAATTTCAGTATGTGATAATGCCAGATATGCTTTAGAAATACTTGCAGATGCCCAGTTCCCCAAGCAGGGAAGCAGGCTTTCCAGAGTGTATATGAGCTATACTAAATACGTAGCTTTAAAGAGTAGGTAGACCTGCTCACAAGATATTTGAGGTCACAATACAAGCACAGCTTCCACATTAAATTATTCTGGATATGAATGTGAAACAAATGAAATGTGACAGATTGAATGATGTAAGACTGAAGATTATCTGTAGTACAGTTATTGCAGAAATAGCAATGTGAGTTATACTGTTAAGGCTGAACAGCCCATTTTCCATGTTTGCAATTCTCTGGCCATTGGAAATCCTAGCAGAGTAGCAATCAGTGTAGCGGATTTTATGACCTCAGTATATGTCTAAAGGAAACAAAACAAACATCCAGGCCGATTGTATATTGTGTATCAGACAGTCATTAGCTGGAATGATTGCTCAGCATTCTTTAGGATCTCATTTTGAAACAGTGATGTACAGACACAAGATTCTTCTGTCCCTGTGCTGAGTTCTTAAACCAGGGGTTCACAGTTCTTTTTTTTTCCTGTGGACTATTCTCAATCCTTACCATTTTACATTAAAACTTAGCCCTTTGGAATTGAAAACACACCTCAAGGCAATATGGTTACAACTTACAGTCTTAATTGCCCTGACCAGCCTCACCTAGGACCTCCACTTGCACCTTCTGCTTACCGGTCCAGGAGCTCCACTTAAGCTCAGATATGGGCTTCAGTCCCTTCATGCTGGAGGTAATTCTGCTCCTGATCGTCTCCCTAGTTCTGTCTCCTGCTCTCATGGACCTGGATTGCTGTTGTAGCCTTGTCTCCTGACTGGACTTCCTGGGTGGACCCCAGACCTGACTTCTTACCTTGCTTTGTCTAAGGGTGACGTGCTATCAGCAGAACCTGCCACTACCACCAACCTTGTCATGTTCAGATACTGTGACCTAGTTGGTGCGGGCACTGACTGTGCTTTCATTACCTTTGTCTCCTTGTTTCTTTCTTCTTGGAGGAGGCACACTCTTCTTCCCTGACCATTTCTCTGTGGATAGTTAATGGTGCATAGGCCAAAATTTATGAGCCATAGACCCAATCCATCCCATTCTTCTGGCCACAATACTTGGTGTAAAAACATAGATTCCAGTAGAGTTTGCATCACCACAGAATTTGCGTGTGTGTTTTTCACTCCAAAGTTTTCAAGTACATCTGACAACAGTACCTTAAAGATTACTCACCTTGCTTTGGATTTTTTGAGCCTGGAATGCTGGTTTACTCCTCACACTGTCACGTGTGTTCTGCAGTTCAAACCAAAAATATATTATTTCATTTCAGAGACAGATTTTCAAGTACTCAGCAAAAAATATTAGATATTTACCAAAAATCACTCCTGAATATTCATCTAGAGTAACAAATACAGTCATAGGGGATATACTTTGGAATTGTCATATCCACAAAAACTTGTTATGTACACCCAACTTAGTGGGAATATTTCATATCAAATGACGATACAAAGGTAGGTCCAAATATTGACTAAAATTTATTGACTAAAATAATGCTAAAACAGTGATGTTTTGTTTGACTATGAAATATTAGCTATATAGATGAATATATTGAGGTCTTAACTGAAATAGATATTGGGAAGAAAATATAGCCTGTCAAAGCACACTTCATGAAATTATTAAATAGTGGTAGAATTCTACTGATGGTTATTTATTTCATTTTATGGTCTTAGCTATAGATACTGATGTGAAAGTGTCTGGTATCATGGGGATGAACACAGTGAATAGAATATGCAGATGTGATGCTGAAATGAATATATTACATACATAGTTTGGTGACATAGTTGTAAACTGGGAATCAACCAAAGCAAGAATTCTGTGTGAATTGGGACCGCTATTCCCTCAGCTTGGCTGCTCTGTGGCATAAAAGTTAATGGAAAAATAATATGTTGCTTTAGAGAAATATTGCCAGTTCGGAGACTTGCTGGAGTAGTATCACAGGAAGGCTGCTTGTCTCAAAATTAGGAGGATAATAAAGCAAGCAGCGGAAGTATAAGAAAAGGAGGTTGTGCATTATGCATCCAAAGAGGCAAGTGTTAGTATATTACATCTCAAAATAGTAACATGGATGTGAAATAACCATACAGCTATAAATGATGGCACATAATTCCTAACCCCAAATAAACAAAAAATCTCAAATACTTTGAGGTATCTTTAAATACTGCAGTCATTTTTCATCTTCATACTGGGGACTTTTAGGTAATAAAGTATTTTGAGGCATACCTCTCCCTTTTCAGGCTTCGTGGTTGCACACCTGAACTGGTTAGCATTTGCTTTCAGGAGCAGATCCTAAAATTAAAGCAATTAGGTTGAAGAGTATGATACATTTAAATTCTCTAATAAATTTTTTCTGTCTCAAAAAGCCTTGTAGCCCAGACCAGTATATTAATTTGTTTCCAATGAATGAGAGCCTGACTTAGTATTTATATAAATTTTCATTCCTGATTAAAGACTGGGACTCAGCAAGTCTTGGTTTTCTACATAGCTCTGCCTGGTTGGATCCTTTACGTAGGGCATCAGGCCTTTGATAGGTCTGCCCATATGAAACATGTTGCTCATACAGAATTCAACTTAAAAGCCTCATAATTATCTATGGCACATCAGTACCATAGGTAGTATCTGTTTCCACATAGCTAATAAACAATAGCTTTGTTTTTGAGTTAAATTAGATTACGATTAGGGGATCTGAGCGCTAAGGGTTGCTCCAACAGGCACATCCTTAACAGTAATTCCACCTATCATTTTGAAGCGGGAATTACAGGCAGCCACATTTCTAGTTTTTGTGTATTTCTTTTGGTTGTAAAACAAATTTCTAATCAAAGCTGTGAAAAGCAGACTAGATTTTCTCATGGCTTTCTGGACAGCAGCTGTCCATAACATCAGTGCTTCCGTAACTGTCTCAAGTTTGTCTTCCAGTGTTCTCACTCCTTCTTTGCAGATGCTCAGACAATGACAGCTATAGCTTCTGCAGAAATGCTATAAAACAAATGACATTTTTAATGCATATTTCTTTTAGGACCCAACATTTCAGCTTGTTCAGCAAACACTAGAGAACTGACCTTTGTGAATGCTTTGGATGCCTTTTGTAACATTCCAGAGGTGACAAAAACTGCTGTTATTGCAGCTATAATTTCTGTGGTGGTTTTCCTTTGTTCCTTGTATTCATGCATTTTCTCCACTGAAGAATGTAGCTGGCAGTTAAGTGATTTTATAGTTGTCATAGATTTTTGACAATATAGGCACTGTGATATCTTGCTTCTCCTCCCCAGTTTTTCTAGGAAGTTTGTACGTCCAAATAAGCACACAGACAAATAGGCGTGTGCTTTGTGCACAACATGGAAATAATAAAAGGATAAAAAATAGTGTTGCATTGCTTTATAACGAATATCAAGCATGGGTAATGTGATGGGCCAGCAAAAGGAATATAAAGTTTATGCCCCTAGAACCTATCACACATGAAAGCATTTACTATAGTTTAGGCCTTTCACAAGGACATGAGGAGAGCTCAGAACAGTGATAAATGGACTTGTACTGGCTAGTGAAAGCTAGAGTAAGGCATTTTCAGAATGGGGATGGGAAGTGCAGATAAAAAGGCATCAAACGGCAGCTTATACTGTCGTTCAATTGGCTATGGCGACTGCAGTGTGGGGAGGGAGAAAGAACGTGGAAACCAACATTTAATTAATTCCCTTCCAAGGCGAAGATGACAACAATCTGCTTTAACTATGATAGGAGCTAACTCATTGAACGGGATTCCTATCAAAGTTTGGATCAAATAACTAGATCTGGTTGTTTGTTTTTCCAGGCCCTCCCTTCTCCTGCTCTCTTAACACACAGACCATGTATTCTGCTTCTTTAGAAATCACGATGACTTCCTACTCTCTCAGCCTGCTGAAGAAAAGCGTATGGAGACTGCACAAAAAAGAAGCCAGAATCTGCTGATATTTTAAAACAGTGGGTGATGACGTGCTATTTATCAGTTATTATAGAAACAAACAAATATTGAACATATTTTGTATTTTGAAGTCAATTAAAACTATTAATTCTATTAGTGAATACCTTAAATAGCCACATGTCCTGTGGGAGTATAAGAGCCATCAAACTATTTCAAGATTGTAAAGGAATCTTGTTTCTGCTACCTTACATGGTTACTTCCATAATTTCTCACATAATACTTGTATAGTAAATAAAAGTGGAGCTTGTCTCACACAATTAATAATAAGGAAGATGGAAAAAGGGTGACAGAACAGAATAGAGGATACAAACTTCATAACTCTAGAGGAAGAGCCAGGAGCTATTAGGTGCAAAAGCAAATATGTTTCAGATAAAGCTCTAAGACTTGTGAAAATGGAACATTATGAGGAACTGTATGAGGTTTAATAAGGCCAAG